CTGTCCTGGCCCCTCCTCCGTGCCCAGCCAGCCTGGGGCAGAGGGGTCGCAGCCCCTGGCCACAGCGGTGCCCCTTCCCCTCACCAGCCCCAGCCCAGGCCCGTCCCCCTGCGGCTGCCCCTTCCCCCTGTCCAGGAGAGAGGCAGACCCAGCTCTGGGGCAGTGCCCCCAGCCCCCCAGCCCTGGGTACAGCGTCTGACTGGGAGCAGGGGGTGGGGGTTGGGGTGGAGCAAGGCCCCCACTGCCCCCCCCAGCTCCCTGCCCCTGGGCCTGCAGGGCAGCTCCCCCATCGCGGACGTCTGTGGCGCTCAGGGCAGAAGTGGCCTCAGAGTCTCTCGCTGCCCCATGGCCCCAGGGGTCGCAGCCCCCCAGCCTCAGGGAGCGGGTTGGGTCCTTGGGCTTGTCTGGGCTCCCTGCTCCCAGGAGGCGATGGGGGGGGGGCTGCCGGAGGCTGCTCCCTGGGTCCCTAACGTTTCCCCCCCCCCCGGCCCCCAGCTGCTCCCTGCGGGAGGTGGACGATCGGCGCAAGGAGACGTACTGGCAGCAGCAGGAGACGCGCTTCGTGGTGCAGCGATCCCCCTGGCTCATCATGCAGCTGGGCCGGCTGGGCGAGCCCCTGGCCCGCTACCACCTGCCCTACCAGCGGGCGCTGCCCCTGCCCCTCTTCATGCTGGCCGACCTGAGCGCCAAGGCCGAGCGGGGAGCCACCCCGCCCCAGCTGCGCCACATGATGGACTTCGAGACGGCGCTGGCCGGGGGCTCCCCGCCCAACGGGCAGTGCTGGGACAAGAAGGCTGTGGCGGAGATCACCAAGGAGCTGCCCCCCGTCATCCAGCCCAGCCGGCCCGACTTCGGCAAGGGTGACTTCCCCCGCTCCCTGTCCCAGGAGGCGCAGAGGGGCTGAGGGGAGACAATGCCTAGCGCTAGGGGTGCCCAGGCGCGACCCCCTTGTGCTGTCTGTGTTAGCGCTGTGTCTGTGTGGCACCCACGGCGGGTGTCAGGCTAGAGCTGTGCCCTGCCATGGGCACAAGGCACCACCCCGAGTGTCCCTCACCAAGCTTTCCTTAGTTGCCAAGGATTTGTACAAGGTAGGAGCCGACAAGCGGGAAGCAGGCTCCACTCCCAGCTGTTAAGCCCTCCAGTGGGCTCCTGGTTAGAGCTGGGAATGGGGGCTCCTGGGTCCCGTTCCTGCATCTGGGACACAATGCGTATGTCTACATGGCACACCAAGCCCCAGGTCTGAGGTGGGGTCAAACCCCATGCTCCCTTTGCCCACATAGCCGTTACTCTGACTCAGTTGTGGAGCCTCAAATGCAGGCTTGGAAACGAGCCGGGGTCCCCACGGTGAGCAGTGTAGACATGGGGCAGGATCTGGGTTGTGTCCCCAGCTCTGGGAGCAGAGTGGGGTCTAGTGGTTTTTAGAGCAGGGGGATCAGGACTCCTGGGTTCTCTGCCTGACTCTTCCACTGACTCACTGGGTGGCCTGGGGCAGATTCACTGTGACAGGGTGACTGAGCCGCCTCCCTGGGGCTGGGGATTCCCCTATGGAAAGTGCTTTGAGCGCTCAGAGCGGAGGGGGGGGGGTGAGGTTATATAATAATTAATGGAGATATCCCATCTCCTAGAACTGGAAGGGACCTTGAAAGGTCATCAAGTCCAGCCCCCTGCCTTCACTAGCAGGACCAAGTACTGATTTTGCCCCAGATCCCCAAGTGGCCCCCTCAAGGATTGAACTCACAACCCTGGGTTTAGCAGGCCAATGCTCAAACCACTGAGCTATCCCTCCCCCCTCCTGGAGGAGGAGGAGGAGGGGGGAGCTGGGACCACCCTGATTTCACGCCCCTCCCTGTGCGGGGGCATCAGGAGCGGGCAGACGTGGCGACGGCAAGGGAGCAGAGGGGGCAGGAAGGGCCAGGCGAGGTCCTGCCCAGGGGGACGGGGGACACCGCCCTGGCTGCCAAAGGACAATGCAGGAAGGGATGGAGCGAAGGGGCCACCGCGGGTGAGACGGGGAGGCGCGCGCTGGGGGCTGCAGGGCCGCGATGGGGGAACCACGGGGAAATCAGCCAGGGGTGGGAGCTGCTGCGGTGTGGCTCCGGAGGTGAGGGTTGTACCAGCTCCTGTGCGGGGTGGAGGGGGAGAGGTGGGTTTCTAGCCACGTGACTTTTCCTTGTACTGCAATAAAACTCCAGTCTCGACCCCAATGTCCCACCTTGGTCCTCTTCCTTTGAAATGCTTGAGCGATCGCTGGGGGGGAGGGGGGAGTGGCCTGCACTGAGCCTGACCCCAACAGCTGGGTGGGCTCTGAGCTAGCCCAGCGGTGGTGCTGGTCACAGCTGGAATTGCCCTCCGCCTGGTGTGGCCAGGCCTGCTTCCTGGAGGGGCCCGGCACCGTACCCTGCTCCCCCAGGCGCAGCCCAGTGACTCCAGCCAAAAGGCAGATGAAGATTTGCACGGAGAGAGACGTGGCCATTGGGCTGATAGCAGAGGGGCTGAGCCCCCCGCTGGCCCCTCTCCTTGGAAAGGGGCAGGGTGGGGAAAGGAGCAGGGGGCTTCCCAGCCGTCAATCTGCCCGCGATGCAGGAGCCGTCCCAGCAGCTAGGTCAGAGGGTCCCGTGGGGAACGCTGCACTCAGGCCCGGCTGGAGGGGACCGCAGGACAGAAAGCAGCAGGACAAGAGTTAAAGGGAGCCCGGAGAAAGCCCATAGCTGGGGTTCCGGGAGGTCGAGGTGAGGGCCAGAGGATACAGCTGCATTTATTAAAGGGGCATGGATGGTTTCAGGACCATGACGTGTAGCAATGTAGGACTGGGACCCAGGACTCCTGGGTTCCACTCCCAGCTCTGATATGTGACTCCAGACCGGTGCCTCAGTTTCCCCACTGTCTTTTCACAGGCCCTGCTCAGTCCCTCCCTGCCCGGAACCCATGGTGGTGTGAGGCCTCCTGAAGGCAGCAGCAGTTTGGGCGGGGCCAAGGGGGACCGGGCTGAGAGGAGACAAGGATCTGGGGCGGGGGGTCCATGTTCTGTTCCCCTCGCCCACACACGCAGCAGCAGGCGTAGGTGCACTGTGGCTCCTTGTCTCCCTCTAGAGGCTGGCCCACAGAAGGGGTTAATGGGCTGGCTACAGAGCAAATTCTGCCGGGGTCTCTGCTGTCTCTGGGGTCTGGCCTGGATCAGCCCCTGGCGGGCAGAGGCAGGCACTGGCCCCCTGAGTCTCCTGCCTGAGATCCCATGAGGGAATTGGGGCCGGCCCGTCCAGAACGGCCTCCTGTGCTTAAATATAGCCCGGGCAGGGAGCCGCTTTCAGCGCTGGGTCCAGGCCGGGTCCCGTGCCCAGCCGGTGGGGGGGCGCTGTCAAGGCGATGGCACTATACAGAGGAGATCGGCAAGGGCCCAGAGCCTGCAGGGGACGGTGCTGAAGGCCGGGCGCTGTTACTTTTAAAGGCAGCATGTCTCCCCCCCCGTTTCGCCCCATGCGGGCGCTGGATGCAATACCCGCACGGGCCGCTCCACGTGGCCAAGGGGCCGAGCAGCCCAGCCATGTGCCTGCTGCCAGGGCCGGGACACTACTGCAGCAGGGACTGCGTCAGGGCAGAGCAAGTGTCTGTGCCCCCCCATCTTTCCCCCTCCCCCCCGGCGCCACCTGGCAGCTGCCACCTGCTCCTGGCCTGGGCGCAGAACGTTAACAAGGCCATAAACAGCTTCTGTCCTTGGCCGGCCGGGATTTGGCGGGCAGGGGAAGGACTGGAGGTTTGGCCAGAGGCTCTTTAACCTCTGCACGGGGGCACCTGGCATGGCGCTCCCTGGGCGCTGGTCCAGCAGGTGGGGCAGCCTGAGGTCAGAGGAAAGTGGCCTGGGCCTGGCCAGAGCCCTGCAAGGGGGAGATGGGGGGGTGGATGGACATGGGGCACAGCCCAGCTGTCTGGCTGCACCCCTCCCACCCCCAAATAATGGCAAAGCCCACTGGGGCCTGCCCGGCGCAGGAGGGGCCCCCACGCCTGGATCAGCTGGTCTGGCCCAGCCCGTATTTGCCATGCCCTTCCGGCCCCAGCTCCCTGGCTGCCAGCCCTGCTCCACTTGTCCTATGGGAGCTTCTCGGCCGGGCTGGGCTGAGGGGGGGGGGGGGGGGGGGGGGGGGGTGAGGAAACGGGACTGTACGCCCCACTGCGTCCAAGCAGGCTGGGTCAGTCATGCAGCTGCTCAGAGCAGGAGCCCTTCCCCCCAAGCGCCTAGCACCCCCCCCCCCAATCTGGGTGCACCACCACCTCCTGACCACACACCTGGGTGCAGCCCCCGCCCCCACACACACACATCAGCAGCTGCATCCTCTTTCCCCTCCAGTGCCACACACACACACCCTGCTTCCTTTCACCTCATTTTTCTTCCACGTGACACCACCAAGTCCTGCCTGGCGGGGGGGATAGTGATGCCCCCCCCGGCAAAAGGCAGCAAACTACTCCTAGCTGTGGCATCCGTCTATCGCCCAGGAGCCTTTGGGTGCCAGGGGGGCCACCAGTCTTCAAGGGGAAACTGCCTGCCAGGCTGCCCTGATCCCCAAAATGCTCTGGGGTGGGAGCATGGCCTGGGCCCACTGCCCTGCAGCGTCTCCCTGAGCTCAGCTGGCAAAGGCTTGTACCGGGGGAACCAAAAGGCCTGAGGCTTCCCCTGTCTGCTGTGAGGGGTTGGGGGTGTTAGCCATGTGCCTGGCATGTGCTGTAGCCACGTAGCTGGCAGCAAAGGTGCTGCCCTGTGGGTTGGTGGCAGACTTACCTGGTCACCTTCTTCGCGCGCAAGAACTGCGGCATCAGGGTGAGGCACAGGACACGCCCCTGCCGGGGAGCCATGGCCAGCGGAAAACGTTTGCTCTCTGCCTTGTTCTCCAAGTGAAGCCAAGTCGGGGGTGCCAGGGGCTTCCTGGGAGCCAGGCAGGGCTGGGCTGGGCCTCCCGACTCAGGCATTTGCCTGCGTGGCGTACGTGACCTCCTCTGAGCTAGGAGGGGGCCATGTGGTGTGAATGACCAGGCCCCACTAGGAAAATAGTCAGGGTCAGCATCACGGCTTCTTTCTCAGCTGAGCGACTCGCCTCTGCCAACCCCCAGCAGCAGATGCCAGGGGAAGCGCGGGGGCCCCGGCTCTGGCCCGTCCCCCGGGCTCCCCCAGGCCAGGACGGCTAACACGGCGAATGGAAGGAGAGAGTCGTGCCGCCTTTCCTCCTTTTATTAGCCAGACAGCCTCATACCCCGAGCGCCCCAGTAACAGCAGCAGGCCGAGGAACACGGGGACGCGGACGGTGAATTCCTTGCCCCAGAATATCAGCCCAGGGGATTGAGGATGCAAATGAGCTCCTGGGGTCACCCATGTCCTGACGTCTGCGGGGAGCCGCTCGTCCCCCTCATGCACTAATCCTTCTCCTGCAGCACCGGCCGGCTGAACATCACCTTGTGCTTCCCCCGTGCCGGCAACTGCAACTTCCCGGCTCTGCCCTCATCTCCACGTAATCACATGTCCTCCCCAGGCTAGGGCCAGGCCCCAGCTCTCTTGACTCCCAGCCACTTGCATTAACCACTAGCCCACACTCCCCTCCTGGAGCTGGGAATAGAACCCAGGAGTCCTGGCTCCCAGCTCCCTCCATTTCTCTACCCGCTAGCCAACACTCCTCTGCCGGAGCTGGGGATAGAACCCAGGAGTCCTGGCTCCCACCCCCTAACTGCTCTACCCACTAGCCCACACTCCCCTCCTGGAGCTAGGAATAGAACCCAGGAGTCCTGGCTCCCAGCTCCCTCCATTTCTCTACCCGCTAGCCAACACTCCTCTGCCAGATCTGGGGATAGAACCCAGGAGTCCTGGCTCCCAGGCCCCTCTACCCGCTAGCCAACACTCCTCTGCCAGAGCTGGGGATAGAACCCCAGAGTTCTGGCCCCCCCCCCCCCTCCACCACCCGCCCCCCCCCCCCCCCCCGCCGGAGCTGGGAATAGAACCCAGGAGTCCTGGCTCCCAGCCCCTGACTGCTCTAACCACTAGCCCACACTCCCCTCCCCCCTGCTGTGCTGTTAGACCCAAAGAGCATCAGCTGCTGTGACAGCCTTGCTGACAGCTGATTGACAGCTCAGCCGGGAAGACCGTTCTTAAAGAGACAGCGTTCCGATTGCAGCACCATCAGCATGCACGGTGCTGTACGAACCCATGGTCCCTGCCCCACAGAGCTCACAGTCTAACTCGAAAAGCCACATGCAGCCACGGCGTAACCTCGCTGAGCTTACGCCCGGGATGGCTTTGGCCCTGGGATGGGCCTCTACAGTAACCCCGCGTTGCCCGGCTCACCGTGGGTATTTCTCATGCAGGGGGAGCCGTGAGCTGGGAACGCAGAGCCCTACGGGCAGGTCCGTGCCCCGGCCCCTCAGCCCCGCTGCGCCTCCTGGGACAGGGAGCGGGACAGGGAGCGATGGAAGTCACCCTTGCCGAAGTCGGGCCGGCTGGGCTGGATGACGGGGGGCAGCTCCTTGGTGATCTCCGCCACGGCCTTCTTGTCCCGGCACTGCCCGTTGGGCGGGGCGCCCCCGGCCAGCGCCGTCTCGAAGTCCATCATGTGGCGCAGCTGGGGCGGGGTGGCTCCCCGCTCGGCCTTGGCGCTCAGGTCGGCTGGCACGAAGAGGGGCAGGGGCAGCGCCCGCTGGTAGGGCAGGTGGTAGCGGGCCAGGGGCTCGCCCAGCCGGCCCAGCCGCATGATGAGCCAGGGGGATCGCTGCACCACGAAGCGCGTCTCCTGCTGCTGCCAGTACGTCTCCTTGCGCCAATCGTCCACCCCCCGCAGGGGGCAGCTGGGGGGGGGGGGGGGGGAACGTTAGGGACCCAGGGAGCAGCCCCCGGCAGCGCCCCCCCATCGCCTTCGGGGAGCAGGGAGCCCAGACAAGCCCAAGGACCCAACCTGCCCCCTGAGGCTGGGGGGCTGCGACCCCTAGGGCCATGGGGCAGCGAGAGACTCTGGGGCCCCTTCTGCCCTGAGCGCCACAGATGCCCGCGATGGGGGAGCTGCCCTGGAGGCCCAGGGGCAGGGAGCTGGGCGGGGGGCAAAGGGGGCCACACTCCACCCCATCCCCCACCCCCTGCTCCCAGTCAGACACTGTACCCAGGGCTGGGGGGCTGGGGGCACTGCCTCAGAGCTGGGTCTGCCTCTCTCCTGGACAGGGGGAAGGGGCAGCCGCAGGGGGACGGGCCTGGGCTGGGGCTGGTGAGGGGAAGGGGCACCGCTGTGCCCAGGGGCTGCGACCCCTCTGCCCCAGGCTGGCTGGGCACGGAGGAGGGGCCAGGACAGGGATCCTGCTCTGCTCCACGGCCCCCCACCCCCGGCTGCCCCTCCACAGAAACTCCCAGGGCTCCCCTCAGCCCAGGGTCGGGGCCACAGGGAGCCCAATGCCCTGCCCCGCTGCCCAGGGTGCCCGTGCCCCACACTCACCCCTCCTCGGGCCTGGTGGAGAGCGACAGGTCCCTCCATTCGGCCGTGAAGGATTCGTGCCGCACCACGTCCTCCTCCTTCACCAGGCAGCCCAGCTCGGCCGCCGACAGCACCCCCGCGCTGCGCAGCACTACGCTCTTGCCGAACATCCTCACCCTGTGGGACGCCTTGCTTGAGGGGGGGCGGTGAGCCTTGCTGTGTGTGTGTGTGAGACCAACTGTGTGCGTTAGAGCCCGGTTGCGTGTGCGTGAGCCCGGCTGTGTGTGTGTGTGTGAGCCCGGCTGCGTGTGCGTGAGCCCGGCTGTATGTATCCAAGCCCTGGTACTTGGCTGCCCAGGCCAGGGTTTATATAGCCTCCCTGTGTCTATTTCCGAGCCGTGTCGTCAGGGGCTATATCCGCCCCACGCGGTCACTCGCCAGCGCTCCCGACACCGGACACCCCCCGCGTTTGTTGTTTACTGGAAACTAGCCTCGGCCCGGAGATCACCCTGCCGGGCAACGCTTATACCCCCGCCCCTCACGCAGCCTGTGGGAAGCTGCAGGGGTCTCAGCTACGGGGGGTGTGTGTGTGGGGGGGGGGGGCAATCCTGGGCCACTGTCCACACCAGGTGGCCCAACCCTTTAGGGGTGTGAATTAACCCTTTGCAAACCCCCGGCCCAATGGGGGAAGAGCGTTCTGGTCTACTCTGGGTCTCAGAGGGACTCAATAGAAGAGCTGGGAGTAGACCCCAGGAGTTCTGATACCCTCGCCTACTCCTCTCTAACCACTAGACCCCACTCCCCTCCCAGAGCTGGGACTGGAACCCAGGAGTCCTGGCTCCCAGCCCACCCCGCCCCTGCTGGAACTGACTAGAGTCCACGCCTCTCCCTCCCACAACTTCAAAGTGGGGAAAAGTGGTGGTGGCTCTTTTAAAGGTCTCCCCCTTGCCCCAGAGCTGGAGGGGGGGGCGATACCACCGGAGCTGGCCGGCTGGCTGGCTGGAGGGGCCCAGATGAGCCAGTGGCCCCTGGCTGGCAGAACCCAGGTGTCCCCAGAGAGCATGTGGGAGCTGGAACTAGAGGTGGGGGCGGTTCTCAGACTGGGTTTCTCATAGACAGGCCGGGCTCGGCGTTGCCCCAGGCCATGGAGCACGGGGCCTGCTGGCCACCAAGTTTGGGGGATGAGCTCATCCTAAAACCTGACCCTGGAGACCCCCGGGTTAGTGGCCCCCCGGCGGGCGAGCTCCCAGCCCCGTGTTCGGTGAGCCCACCCCGGGGCAGTGACAACCGCGTGAGCCCCTGCGTTCAGCACACTCCCCCGGCCCAGAGATGCAATGTGAAAACCTCGCCCGGCCGGGAGAAAATGTGCTGAGCAGCCCAGTCTGGCTGTCCCGCCGGGGCCAAGGGGATGGGGCTAATTATAGCCACCCTGGGTCCAAGGATTCCTGGGGGAGGGGGGTGCGGCAGCATGTGAAGGACTCACACTTTCCAGGTGGAGACTTGGGGCTTAGAGCAGGGGGGCAGGGAGCCAGGACTCCTGGGTCCTATTAACAGCTCTGGGAAAGGGAGTGGTGTCTAGTGGTTAGAGGGAGAAGCCTGGGAGCCAGGACTCCTGGGTTCTGTTCTCAGCTCTGGGAGGGGAGTGGTGTCTAGTGATTAGAGGGAGAGGCCTCAGAGCCAGGACTCCTGGGTCCTATTCCCAGCTCTGGGAGGGGAGTAGCTTAGAGCAGGCCACATGGAGCCAGGACTCCTGGGTTCTAAGTTGATCATTGGGTGGCAGGTGACATAATACTCATATTATTATTCCCCACTTGCTGTGGGACTCTGTTCAAGTGCCCTCCCGCCACTGGCACCTCCGTTTCCCTCCCCGCCCCTGCCCCAGTGAAATGGCCTTTCCTAGAGCTAGCAACGTAAATGGCGTCAGGACGCCTGGTCAGTGCTCCTCCTCCGCTAGCAGAAAGGGCCCCGGGATCCTTCATGGCCAGGAAGCCCAATGACTGACCAGGCTGATGCCCCCCATTCTGGGCATGCTGGGGGGGAGCAGCCCCTGCTGTGCGGGTCAGCAGAGGACCCCGAGCTGTGGAGTTGATGCCCTTCCACCAGCTCCGAGATCGCCTGGTGGGGGCTGGAGAATCGGCTCTCAGCCTGGCCCCGGCAGGCTCCCCCCATGCAGCCAGCACCGACAGTGACAATTCCCGCCCGCCAGCCGCTCACGGATCAAAACCCGTTTGCCCCACCAGAGCGCTGGGATCGGTCTCATTTAATGGCCTTTCGCTGACATAATTTATGAGCTGAGGCAGCTTTTCCAAAACAGCCTGAAAGCATTTGGGGCCGCTAACCTGTTCCAGGCCTGGCGTTATCAGCTGCACCAGAGATATTTCACAGCCACAATTGACAGGGCCCTGAGGCCGGCCCCCCTTGCCCGCTAACTCCATTACCGCCCTGGTTTGCATTGTGCCAATGAGCCCCTTCCTCCCACCACGAGGGTGGGGGGCTGTGAGCGGATCCAGCTGCCATGAATGGGCTGGGAGGGGAGTTGGTTTGTTCCCACCTGGGAGTCTGAAATAAGCGAAGAGGCTGAAATTGGCGAGGAAAGGTGGCAAAGGGAAGCCCCCTGCCCCTTCCCCATTGGCTGCGATGGATCTTCCCCGGCCAAACCAGTGCTGGGAATGGTTCTAATGCCTGGTGTCCTCAGGACAGCCCCATCTCGCCCCTGTCACGGGAAGCACCAGGGAGCCAGGGTGGAGCGAGAGGGATGGGGTGAGCAGGCCGGCCAGCTGGTGGCTGAGAGCTGGGGTCCAGCTGGTGCAGAGCGCTGCCTCCTTGCGGAGCACATCACAGAACCAGCCTGCAGTTAAAGAGCAATTAACAACCTGTGTCCAGAGGGGCCTATGTGGAAAGGAATCAATAGAGCTGTGTGGTTG